CGGCGACTTGGCCTTCGGCGACATCTTCCTCCACCTGCTCACGGGCAGCCTGGCGCTGCTGGCGGACGACTTTGCCCTGGAGGACTTCTGCAGCAGCCTCTTCGACGGCTTCTTCCTGACCGCCTCGCCCAGGTAGGCCCGCTCTGCCACTCTGCTCCTGTCTGCGGCAGCCTGAGGTGGCTGCTGTCCCCGTCCTGGGGGTGGGGTCTGCAGGTGGCGTCGCTGGGCACAGCTGAGGATGGTCCAGGGGCCGGTCCTGTGCTGTCTCCAGGGGCCTCACCCCGCCTGCAGCTGGGCCGGGCCTGGGGGGACAGCAGGGCCTCCTCACGCCCCAACGCCGGCGGCCTTTTCCAGGAAGGAGAACGTGCAGCGGCACGCGTTGCGGCTCCTCATTCACCTGCACCCCAGGGTGGCCCCGGCGAAGCTGGAAGCCTTGCAGAAGGCCCTGGAGCCTACAGGCCAGGTGGGTGCCTGGGGGCTCCCAGCCGCGGGTGTGCCCGCCACACTGCCCTCGGGGTCCTGTGGGCGCCCACCCCGCACCTCGCCCACTTCATGGCTGTGGTTCCCCGCAGAGTGGAGAGGCTGTGAAGGAGCTTTACTCTCAGCTGGGCGAGAAGCTGGAGCAGCTGGACCACCGGAAGCCCAGCCCGGCGCAGGCCGCGGAGACGCCCGCCCTGGAGCTGCCCCTCCCCAGTGTGCCCGCCCCTGCCCCACTCTGAGGCTTCCCCAGTGCTGCTTGGTGCCAGGGCCCTGCCGAGTCCCAGCCCTGGTCAGCCGGAAGGGACTCTCGGACCTGGGTGTGCGGGGCAGTCCCCGCTCCCGGGGCTGTGGCCAGGCCTGTCCTGTGGTCACAGCCCCACCTCCTGCTCCCTGGAGCCGGGTCCAGGGCTGGCCTGCCACCCATGCGGTGACTCCCAGGGCCCTGCCTCTCCTGTGCTTTCACAGCTCATCTTCCCTTTTCCTAGGTTAGGAAAAACCCACCTGTTTTCCAAGGGGAGAGGGTGGGGCCCGAGGGTGGGGGCGGGGCCTGTGTTTTGGCCCAGCCTGGGAAAGGTGAGGCACACTGCTTTCTGCCCTGGGGCGGTGGAGATGGAGCTGGGACCTCATGGAAGTCATGTGGGGGCAGCAGCCAGGCCTGTGCCATGGCGCGTGCCCGGTCCTGTGCGGAGGGAGCCACCTCACCCTGCAGCCCGGGTGCCCCATGGCCCATTTCACCCGTGGAGCCAGCACTCCTCACCCGGCATTGCCGCCTTCACTGGCCGCCACCGGGCCAGCTGGACACACAGTGAGATTTTATGTAAATAAAAGGCATTTTGGTAAACCTGGCGGCTGAGGTGTCTCTGTGCCTGCCCTGGGGTTGGGTACAGCTCGGGTGGACACAGGCATTTCTGCTGTGGAGTCAATCCGTGCGGCCTTATGGGCCAGAGCGCCTCTGGGCTGCTCAGCCGTGCCTGTGACCAGCAGCGGTGGGTGGTGATTAATTTCTGGAGGAGGCTGACAGGAAGCCCCACCCGAGGGGCTCGGCGCCCTGAGACGCAGACCAGCTGATTTGTCTTTGTCCTGTGATTCCAGGGGGCACCCCTCACCCTCAATGTGCACCAGGGACAGGAGCCCTGGAGGCCCAGGATGCGCCAGTCAGAGCCGGGGCATGCCCAGCAGATGAGGCTTGGCCGGGCAGCAGTGGGACCTGTGGGTATGGGAGCCTCTGATCCAGTCTCCTCGGGGACAGAGCCAGGGAGGCTTGGGACTCTCGCACCTATGCAGACCTGCACAGCGCTCATGGTCTACACTGCCAGACTCGTGCCTCAGTTTACCCGATCATGTCTTTCCCAGAGCCCAGGGCAGACAGAGAAGTCCCAGGCTGAAGGCTCTGGTGGGAGCTGGGGACCCAGGTGGGGCTGGGCGTCCGGGGCTGGCCTGGCTGGTGGGTGGTGCTCGAGGGTCCTGGGTATGTTCTGGAGGCGGAGCAGGAGGAGTTCCAGGTAGCGTGGAAGGAGCTGTGAGCTGCAGAGGCGTCTCAGAGGGCCCAGGGCTTTGAACCTGCCCAGGTGGGCTGCCATGGGAAGATCAAGGGCTTGGGGTGCTCCAGAGGCCTGTCTGCCAGGCATGTGCAGTGGGTTTGGAGGTGTGGAGCTCTGAAGAGACAGGCCGGGGTGTGGGTCTGGATGCTGCTGTGGTTAGTGATGTTTGAGCTACTGACTGGGCCAGATCAGCCCAGGTGAGGGTGAGCAGCCATGTGCTCTGGGTGGGGGCAGCTGGCAGCAGAGGGGGTGCCCTGCCGCCCAGGGAGGAGGGGCCGAGGAGACTGGAGGGGCCGGGAGACCCAGCTGAGAGGCGTTACGGATGGGATGAAGGTCGGGACGGATGGGATGAAGGTCGGGACGGCAGTGCGGGGTTTGTTTTCTTTTTTGAGATGCAGTCTTGCTCCCCCGTCGCCCAGGCGGGGGTGCAGCGGTGCGACCTTGGCTCACTGCAGCCTCTGCCTCCTGGGTTTAAGCTATTCTGCCTCAGCCTCCCAAGTAGCTGAGACTACAGGTGCCTGTTGCCACACACAGCTAATTTTTTTTTTTTTAATTTTTAGTAGAGACAGTTTCACTGTGTTGGGCAGGCTGGTCTCGATCTCCTGACCTCGTGATCCACCTGCCTCAGCCTCCCAACATGCTGGGATTACAGGTGTGAGGCACCATGCCTGGCCCCCCCCTTTTTTTTTTTAAGATAGAAGATTAATGCACTGAGGACCAAAAAAGAAAAAGAAAAATTAAAAAAAAAAAGAAGTACATGTCTTGGGGCTGATAGGACTGACCCAGCAGAGTGAGGAGTGGATGGTGGGCTGGGGCTGGGCCATCACCGAGGGAGGCGGCGGCGGGGTCTCGGCCAAGAGGGGCGTCCTCAGAAGAGGGCTGGTGGGCACAGACGCTGGGTGGACACCAAGGAGACGCTGGGAGCCCCTTGCTGCCGCCTCCATTTTCTCAGGTCTTCAGCTGGGAGGCAGAAGAGGGAGGAGCTGGCGAGGACTTGGCTGCGGTGAAGGGACCCGGATGCCGGCTGTGGTGTCGGCAGTGGGCAGGTCCTGCCCAGGGCACCTGCGGGGGGTGCAAGGCCTATGGGTGGGGAGGGAGGGACAGAGACTGAGGTGCCTGTGGGTGAGGAGCTGGTGAGGTGAGGGGTGTGAGCGCAGGAAGGTGCTGGAGGTGGACGGCTGAGCCTCGGGACGGTGGTGTCTGCAGCGACAACATAGGGCAGGAAGAGCCGAGCTGCCTGAGTGCTTGGGTGTGGACGCCGCTGGGAAGTGAGGGGAAAGACCTGGGGGGGGATGGAGGGCCCTGGCGCGGGGGGTGTCCTCTTGTGAGGGGAGCACCTGTGGGGGAATTGGGAGGAGAGCGGGGAGGGCGCCAGCAGCTTGGGGAAGCAGTGAGGGAAGCCCTTCCAGAAGCGGAGAACATGCAGGTGAAGCAGCAGGGCCGAGCTGGGTAGGGAGGTGGGAGGAGGGGCTTCCTGGAATGGGGTCACAGGAGATGGTGATGGCACTGGGGGCTGGGGTTCTGGGGCTCCCTTCATCCCTGTAGAAGGGAGAAAGTACAGGTCGGGGGAGGCCTTGGCCCAGGGCTCCGATTCACCTTTGAGCCTCAGGGCTGGGTCCTGGGGCACCCCTTGGGCGAGTCTCTTTTCTGCAGAGGGCTCTGGCCTGAGGGTTTCTGGGCCAGCCTTTGGCGGCAGCAGCTCCAGCCTTGGTGGCTTGGAGGAGGGCTGAGGGTTGCTGCAGGACTTCCAGGGCCCAGCCAGCCTTCAGCTCTCCCTCAGGGTCCTCCCTGTGTCAGAAGCAGCACCGAGACTCAAAGCCGGAGGCCCCCAAAGGACCCCAACCTCCGTGCTGGGGCCACAGGGCCTGAACAGCCAACCTTCTTCCGCTCTGGTCCCACAGAGGCTGGAGTGAGGGCCGCCGGCCGGAGAAGAGCATGGGCGTTTCACGTGGCATGTGCCACACCCTCAGCCTCGACAATCAGGGATGGGGCCCCCAGTACCCCCTGCACAGGGGAGGGGCAGCAGGTTCCTGAATCCCAGGCCTGGCTCCTGGCGGGGAGCGTGACAGGCCCGTGGACCCCATGCCCTGGAGAGAATGGAAACCCCAGCCCACAACCCATGTTTCCTGATGCACTCGCTTTGGATGAAGAATACACAGCGGGAACCCATCAGGCCCAGGCTGGCTGTCGTGGGGAGTGGGGCGTCCCTGGGACTGTGGGACCTGAGATGAAGGCCCGAAGCACTGGTGTGGCTGAGTGGCCACCGTGTCCCTCCTGGGAAGGCGGCTTCCAGGCTGGGCCAGGGTGGGAGGAGTCAAGGCTGGTCCCGGCTGGCCTGTTGGAGGGAGCAGCCCTGTGGCCAGGGGAAGGGCCGGAGCTCTGGCTCCTGGCTCCTGGCCCAAGTTCTTTCTAAATTTGTTGCCCAACCCCCACAGGGACCCTGAGCCACATGTGGTTTTTTTCCGTGACAGAACTTCTGTCCCAGTGTGTGCTGCCTGTCTGGGCGGGGGGCTTCAGGCTGGGGACAGAGGAAGGGGGAAGGGAAGGAAAATGAGCTCCCTCTGGGGGCTCCAGATTGGGGTCAGGAGGGGAAGGAAAAAGGGGAGAGGATAAGAGAGGGATGGGGGCACAAAGCCTGGCAGAGGACCTGCCCGCCCTCGCTGCTGCTGCCCTGCTGGAGGCCCTCCCCTCCAGCTGTAGGCCCCGCGTGGCGGTGTCAGGTGGAAGGGATGTGCGGGGGGGAGGTGGGGGCCCTGGAGGACAGGCTGAGGTGCAGGAGCCCAGGGTGGGACAGGGCTTGCAGGAGGGGCCCTCGGCTTCACCAGGTGTCCTGAGTCTGACCAAGCCAGGAGGGCTCTGAGTGCCGGAGGGCTGAAGAGGGGATGTGACCTCGGGCAGGGGATCCGCGAGAGCTGGCCAGACCTCCCCCTTTGGTGCCTCCGTCCGGCCCAAGTCCCGCCTGGGCCGCACCCCCTGACTCACTTCCTTTGCATAGAAGCGGAAACCTCCCTGGAGCTTCCTCTGCTCTGGCCGCTCCCTGGGGACCCGCAGGTGTCGCTGCCCCTCGGGCCGGAGCTGGCCCCGGAAGCCCCTGGCCACCCCCTCGCCCTGGAAGGTGCATTTCCTGCCCGGAGTCTTAGGCCCCGGCGTCCGGCACAGGCGGGGGCGGCGGAGCTGGGGGCAGTGGACCAGCTGCAGGTAGGGGTGGGCGGGGGCCCAGGGCCCAGGCCAGTTGCTGCCAGTCAGCGGCTCTTGCTCCGCCCCGGCTCTTGTTTCTGCCCATCCTTTCACCTCACCTCCACCGGTCTCGGGGTTCCCGTGCTCCTCTGCTGCTTCACTGGAGGGCTGTGGGGAGGACCCCAGTTCTGGAGCTGGGCTGGGAGGCCTGGGCTGAGCCTGGGGACGGGGCTGGGCCTGTTCTCAAAATCGTAAGTTCCGGCCAGACCCCCAACAAGTGTTCGGGAGCGTGTGGGGCGCTTCTGAACTCCGGGGCGCTCAGGCCTCTGCTTCCCGCGGCCCCTCCTTGGGAGACGGCCCAGTCCAGTCGGAGCGGCGGGGGGGGGGCAGGGGCCGGTGTGACCGTTCTTCACCCCAGTGGGCGCCTGGTCGGCCACTGACTCCTTCGACTCCTCCTCCAGGAAGCCGGGGCGGCCACTAGATAAGCCTCTAGCCCTCCACTTCCTCAAGGCTCGAGGCCATTTATGGGAGGACCCGAGAGATTTGCATCGGGGCCCCACGGAAGGGCCGCTTCCCCGTCGGAGGGGCGAGGCTGCGACCAAGCCCTGGCCCTAGCCCTGGGGCAGCCCAGGCCGCACCCCGCGGGACTCCCAGGGGTAAGGTCACTCCCGGGAACGGTTCGCGCGGGAGAGGGCGGTGGCGGGAGTCCGGAGACCCTCCCCCGTCTTCCCGTTGCAGGGAGGGCGACCTGTATGCGGAGCGCCGTTCCTGCGCCATGGACCGCGGCCCGCCCAGCCTGGAGCCTGCTGCCGCGGCCCCTGGAACCTCGGGCCGGTGCGTGATCGCGCCCGTGCGCGCCGTGCTCCGCCTGCGCCGCCGGGTGTGTGTCCTGCGCAAGCGGCGCCTCCTGCAGCCGGGTGGGGGGCCCGATGTCGGGACCGGGACGCCCAGGCCGGGCTGCAGCTCCCCGGCGCCGCGCGCGGATACTGACCAGCCGCAGTTCTTCACCTTCGACGGCCCTGCGGAGCTGTCCTCCAGGACGCCACGCAAGAGGCGCCGGCGCAGCCGCTTGGTGCTTTACCCGGAGACCTCGCGCAAGTTTCGGCCGCGCGTGGAGCACAGGAGCCGCGCGCAGCGCTGCCTGCTGCTGCTGGTCGCCATCGTGGGCTTCCAGGTGCTCAACGCCATCGAGAACCTGGACGACAACGCGCAACGCTATGACCTCGACGGGCTGGAGAAGACGCTGCAGCGCTCGGTGTTCGGCCAGCCCGCCGCCGTGGGGCGCATCGTGTCGCTGATGCGGGACTACCTGGCCACGCACGTGCACAGTCGTCCGCTCCTCCTGGCGCTGCACGGGCCCAGTGGCGTGGGCAAGAGCCACGTGGGCCGCCTGCTGGCGCGCCACTTCCGCGCGGTGCTGGAGGACGGCGCGCTTGTGCTGCAGTACCACGCGCGGCACCACTGCCCCGAGGCGCGCGCCGCACAGGACTGCCGCGAGGAGCTGGCGCGGCGCGTGGCCGACGTGGTGGTGCGGGCCGAGGCGGAGGAAAAGACGCCGCTCCTGGTGCTGGACGACGCGGAGCTCATGCCGCGGCCGCTGCTGGACGAGCTGCACGGCTTCCTGCAGCCGCAGCGCCCGCACCACTTCCACAGCGCCATCTACGTGCTCCTCAGCGGCGCGGGCGGCAGCGAGGTCACGCGCTTCGTGCTGCAGAACGCGTCCCGCGCGCTGCCCCTGCGCCCCGACGGCGCCCGCAGTGCCCAGGCCCAGACGGACGAGGACTTGCGCGCCCGCCTGCAGGCACTGCTGTGCCGGGAGCACCCGCTGTGGCAGGCCGCGGCCGTCGTGCCGTTTCTGCTGCTGGACAAGCGGGACGTGGTCAGCTGCTTCCGCGACGAGATGGCGGGCGAGGGCTTCTTTCCCGATCAGGCCCGCGCGGAGCGTCTGGCCGCGCAGCTCAGCTTCTACCAAGTGGCTGGCCGCGAGTTTGCTGTGACCGGCTGCAAGCAGGTGGTGGCCACGGTGAACCTCCTGTAGTGGGGGCGCGGGACGGGACGTTTGGGTTGACGGCAGCAGTGGCGGGTGACCAGGGACCCTGCGGGCTGGTGCAGGCCCCTGAGGCGGCTAGTGCCTTTGTGGCTGCCAGGTTCAGGGGTGCGTCCGCTCAGAGCTCTACCTCCAGGTCCACACCCGCCTCAGAGCCGCAGGAGAGCAGCCCCCACCCTCGTGAACGCGCCCATTCCCCTGCTGCGGGTCCCAGGCATGGTCTGGTGGGTTCTGTTTGGTCGCAGGAGGTGGGCGCCGGGTTCCCATGGTACAAGGATGACCTCAGGGCCAGCAGTGCCCAGGGTCACACAGCTGGGGCCCACCTTGCCTCGGGGCGGGGGGGATGGCTGTGGGTAGGTGGCCCCCCCACGCTCAGTGCTGGGGTGGGGCTCTCATCCCCGCCACCCTGCAGATGAGCACAGAGGAGGCTGCAGCCAGCCACGACAGTGCTGGGGTCCCGCTGTCTCCTCCCCCCCCACCCCTCACTGGGGTCCCGCTGTCTCCTCCCCCCCCACCCCTC